TTCATATGTGCAAGGCTTTTCCTGGACTGTTGAGTTCAAATAATTTGACAAATACCAGAGTCAGGAAAATATCGAAGCTAAAGAATATAGATCTCAGTAAACTTAAAGATTTAAATATCAATTTTAGAGTGCAATATAGTAATAATATAGGTGATACATTTGTAGCTTTTAAGAATAATTTAACACAGGACAAAAACAATAAAAATATAGACGATAGACGGGCAAACGTTAGACATGTTTTAAAAGAGGCAGCTGAAGAAACTTTACAAAAAGAGAAAATTGTGCCAAGAAAGAAATGGCTAAGAAATGGCGTTGTTGGAGGGCGATATAGAGAATGAGGAAGAGGTAGCTGAAGATGAGATGGGCCCAGACATTCTTAAAGAAGAATTTGATAAAGCACTAAACAGTACACAGAATGGCAAAGCTGCTGGTGATAATATATTTATAGAAACGATTAAATTAGCAATTTGTGACCCGATTATTGGAGAGATAATAAGAGATATAATAAGTAGAAAACTACTTACCAAGCAAATGTATTCAACAGGGCAAAATTCCGAGAGATTTTAAAATAAGTAAAATTGTTGCCTTACCCAAGAAACCTAACACCCTACTTAGCGAGGAACATAGGACACTTAGTTTAATTTCAAATGCGAGTAAGATTTCATTAAAAATAATTCAAAACCGCATCAGAGTCATCAGATCCGTATCAGAAAATTACTTAGGACCAGACCAATATTGTTTTAGAGAGGGCAAGGGGACCCGAGAAGCAATACTCGCTCTACGATAGATTATGGTCAGACGTTTGGATTTGGGACTTGACACTCATATTGTTTTTGTAGACCTAGAAAAGGCATTTGATAAGTAAACTTCGGCCTCGAGGCAGATGATGAATATCTTAAAAGTAACAGGGTTGGACTTTAGGGAAAGGAGAATAATTTACCAATTATGTAAGGTACAGGAAGTATGGGTAGAGATGTGCGAGGAAAATAGGAGTGCAGAAATTAGACAAGGAGTCAGACAGAGGTGTCCACTTTCGCCACTAATTTTTAACATGTACATCGAGTTTTCAATTAGAAAAATCATGGAAACTGGGAAGAGAGGGGTCAAAATTAACGGGGAAACTATCCAATTTATCCGATTCGCAGACGACATTGCTGCTTTTGCAGAAACTTCAACGGAGTTAGAGGAATAGGTGTTGGCAATGGATTCAACATTTAAAGAGTGCGGACTAGAGATAAACATAAAGAAGACCAACACGCTAACAACATCAAAAACCACTCAAAACATTCGCCAATAGTACTCAAAGATACACCAATTGAACGGGTAGACAGTTTCAGATATTTGGGCAGTTTAATTACCAAAGACTCCAGGTGTACACCTGATATTGTTTCACGAATTGCAATGGCAAAAACAGCTTTTAACCATGAAAAACAACTGTTAAAATCTCGCAGCTTGTCTTACAAGAACAAGAAATTGGAGTGTACATTTGGAGTATTGCACTTTATGGATGTGAAACATAGACACTGACACAAAGAGATAGGGAAAGATTAGAAGCTTTTGAAATGTGGTGCTGGAGGAGGATGAAGGGTATTAGTTGGATAGAAAATAAAACCAACGAGGAGGTATTTAGGGTGGTGAACGAGAAAAGAACGATCCTGAATACTATAGAGTATAGATGCGGGAAAATGATTGGACATTTGATACTACACGACAACCTCTTTAAGACTATTTTGGAGAGAAAGATCGAGGGGAAGAGGCGAAGAGGTCGATCTAGGCGCAGTTACATAGACGAAATAAAGGAAAAGGCCAGTGTCGTGTCGTATAAGGAGGTCAAGGAGCTGGCTTGTAGGAGAGAGGACTGGAAGAGGCTTCACCTACAAGAGTATAACTATTAAGTTTGATGATGATAATATGATAAATACTATTATTGTAGTAAGATAACGCTCAAGGTTGCAAGATACAAAGCCGAAAAGAAATGGAAACAACTAAGTCAACAAAATTTTACAGTTTAATAATTTTATACACGCAAAATAGGCGCCTCGACGTCGAGTTGCGGAAACTAGCCCGTTGCCCCAATACCAATACCAATTATTAATTTTATACAAAATGTTCATGTCAAAAGAAAAGAAAAATTTACGAAATAATGACATCAGTCGACTCTAAAACTAAACTTCGACACACGCTACTCCGACTAGGTACATGTGACATCGACTTGACCTTACTCAGACACTACGCTATTCCGATAATATGTTACATCGACATGATTTTACACTATGCTACTTCGACAACACAGATGAGATGCTTCTTAAAAATCTTTATACTCCGATAAGAATAATCATCATTACAAACCCATGTAAGAAAAGATTTCTTATATCAATCAATATATAATCAATATCTGTATTACATACATGAAATAGCATATTTTTATCGAGGAACTAAAATAAAAAAATATATATACCAGGTGGTTAGCCACTCGAGCTTCAGCGAGGGTATATATTACTTCAAGGGTTTAGTTCAGGTTTTAGTCTTGATGTGAAAATTTTGCTTTTCACTTGCGAGAAAAAAATATTTATTTCAATCGTTTACGTTCGACAACAAAATCACGAAGCAAAATTCTTAAGTTTTCACGGTATTTTGTCAACCAGACACAGATACAACAAACCTTAGAGGATGGGAAAAAATTAAAGGAAAGGAGCTGCCATACCTACGGAATGAATGTGCATACATTAACAAAAATTGTACACTACAATGGCGGATTTATTTAGTCTTGTAGTAGTAATATTATCTATAATCATAAAGACAATAATAATATTAAAACATGGCATAACAAAAGATGTAACAAGAGACAGTGTGAGTACAAACATATTTCGTTTATGTTAAATACCATTCAAATGTCTAATTAAACAGGTTTTGCGATAGAATGGATACAAAATAAAAACATTTAAACTAATACACAAAAGGAAGAAGCAAATTGACGTACATAGACTACCAGTTTTTCTGCCCTATGTACAAGGGGTGACAGATAAAATAGCCAGGTCGCTAAGAAGTTTTCCATAAAAACTGTTTTCACCCCCTTAACCAAAATAGGAAAAATGTTACGTTCACCAAAAGACCACCTTCCTTTACACACACGGGGTGTCTATAAAGTAAACTGCAGTTGTGGGAGTTCGTATATCGGTCAGACTAAACGAACAATTGTCGATCGTATGAAGGAACACATCCGAGCAGTAAAAAACAATGATGCACAGAAGTCGGCTATAGCACAACATCTCACACAGACTGACACTAACCACTGGATCGAGTTGCATAGCCCCCAGGTACTTTCGACAGAACGTCACTACATACCACGGTTGGTACGAGAAGCCATCGAGATCACGAAGTACAAAACATTTAACCGTGATGATGGTTTTAAACTGTCCAGTGCATGGAATCCGGTCCTTAGTGCGTGCAGTAATAAAAACAAAAACACCTCGAGTTCAGTTTCGCGTGTGGATACAGTAAGTGTGGTTTGTGTGAAAAAAGTGAGTGACAATGGTAACGCCACAACAAATCGCGATGAAGGTAGTCGTCGACAGCGCAAGTGGGTAGACCGTCCAGTCAACCCGTGACCATGGAGCGTGCAACCATTCCGAAATATCGGGAAAATAAAAAGAAGTCATGCCGTGGTAAGAAACCTGATACTAGTGATAATCATATACAGTGTCAATTCACTACCTCAATAATAAAAATGTCACAAGAAATGGTCACTAGTGACAAATTAGATTTGTCAAGATTTATTGAAATCAAAATAAATTTTTACATCTCATTATGTAAAAAGTAAAAAGTAAAGTTTTCACCTCAAGACTAAAAGCCAATATAAACCCTCAGAGTAATAGACATCCTCGCTAGAGCTCGGGTGGCTAACCACTTCGGCTATATTGGCTCGTTTCAGTTCCTCGATAAAAAATATACTATTTCATGTACGTAATTTAATAGTGTTTTTGTTACACTATATAATTAAAATATATAACAAAAAATTATATGAAAAAAAATGAACAAAATCATATAATCGAAAAACTATTTTGTTTTTCGATTATATGATTTTGTTCATTTTTTGTAATATAATAACAATAATAATAATAACAACGCACACACTCATACTTATCGACATAAGAAACCTTTTCCTACACGAGTTTGTAATGATGATCATTCTTATTTGAGTACAAAGATTTTTTAATAAGCATCTCGTCTGTATTGTCGGAGTAGCGTAGTGTCTGAGTGAAGTCATGTCGATGTAACATATTGTCGGAGTAGCGTGTGTCGAAGTTCAGTTTTAGGCTCAACTTACACTGGGGCAGAGTCGAAGCGCCGCGTCGCGTTCTGTTTTTTAACTACAACGCCTGGCGACGCATGTCGACGCGCGTCATCAGTCACTGTATTTCCAAACGAAAATGTACATAATATGTATGTGGAAATACAGTGACTGATAACCAATAATTTTTCTTCTTATTATTTTTCGGTGCCTTTTGCTTCCTTTTCATACGAAATTTGACCCGAGAAAAAAGATTTTACATTATTTACTCCAAAAACACAATCGTACTTAGAATAACCTATGTTCCTAGTTAACGATTTTTTTAATTACTACTTTTTGAAGGTGCGATAATTCAAATTCAAATGGAAAAATAGCATAGACCAAGTACCTACGTATTGTTCTATCCTTTCTTTTGACTACAACTACAATAGATAAACCAAAAAGGGAACCGGTGCACATTTGCTACCGCAAATAAATGAGTCATGAATATTTCGTCATAAATTGTTCTACCTGGTAGCGTCTTCTTTTCACAAAAAGAAATTGCTTATTTGGTACAACAATAAACAACATTCATTCATGTCGTATTGTTAGTCGGAGTCAAATTCAAGAATAATTTAAAAAAATATGATAAATACCATCAAACAACACTAACAAAACTGATCAAAAGGATTGCACGAGCCGAAAGACCACGCGTACGTACCTTGTAGCATCAGTAACTTACCCCGTCAATTTCATTGGTATCTTTTTCAAGTTCTTCCGCGAACTACAAAAAAATAATATTTTGTGTTATTGAAGACCTACGGTTTGAAGGGCTAGTAATAGAACAGTTTACATTAGCATTTATAAACATAATTTTTTTTTCCAAATTTGTAGTAATCATGATTTACATTGTACAGTAATGACACCAAGGAAAGTATTGTATCTAATATTTACACATCATTATTGTTTATTTCGATCGGATTATGTTAGACATTTCCAGAGGTGTTTGTGTATCACTTTGATCGCCTCTGCTCCTGCATACAATAAATAATTTCAATTTATTTTAAATATATTATACTCCAATAATTTACACACCAAACTCGATACACACGAAAAGCACTGAACCACTTTGTACTTTCATAGATCTACCGTTCACCAGGGATTGCTAACGAAGAGTTATTTTAGTTACTGTAATGTTATTACGACAATGAAGACATGTTATCATTTTAGTAGTTACTTATATCTTAGAGCAATACTGAAGCAGATTTGTAACAGGTACGTAGGTACCACCTGTTATCATCTCAATTTAGTTGAGAATATTGGCAAGTTGTAATTCTTGTATTAATTTTTGTATTGTCTGAAGACCTATTTTTAACCGACTTCAAAAAAGGAGGAGGTTCTCAATTCGACTGTATGTTTTTTTTGTATGTACGTTAAGCCATAACTTCGGTATTTGTGAACCGATTTTCATGATTCTTTTTTTGTTGGAAAGGGGGTACTTCCATTAGTTGTTACTATAAGATATATGTAAGTTTATTATGTATGTATAATAAGTCTGTTTATATTATGTTATTGATATAAACCATACAAATTATCGATTAGCTTTCTAGTAATTAATACAGATTTTGATTTGATACAAAACCATAAGTTACTTACGTTTACTTTGCCAATCTTAAAAAGATACGCAGGCGATTCGGGTGCTTTTAACAACATTAGGAATGTAAGAAATGGAAGCCAAATAACACTATACAAAGTAGTAAAATACCCAAGGTATGCGCCCAGGATAAACATTATTAATAGTCCTATATTCTGGAACATGATGAGTAAAGATCCTAATTGACCTCTTATGTTGTCTTGACTTATTTCTTTGACATACATAGGTACCACTGCAAAACATCCACCAGCAGATAGGCCGCAGAATATTCTTGCTATGATGATGGTTGTCATATTTGCAGATGACAATTTTAATAACCAGCTTAGCTGAAATATGTCAAGGATTATTTTTAGTTTCTTTACATGATTATTCCTGATACGACAAGACATTAACTTTTTTCCTTATCTGATCTAAGTAACTTTGTCACAGTCGTCCTCTGCTTTTGTTTCTTTCGGTCGCCTATCTATGATATTTCTAAAAAAACTGTCTTAACGTATCAGATACCCAAACATCTTTCCCTTTCCGTTCTCCATTGCCGTTTCGTATCAGGGAATCTAAGTTAGGACGCTGAGCAGAGTTGGTCGGCGATTACCCCATCGACAAGAGGAAGACAAAGAAGAAGAAAGACACGCTTTTACTTAAATAAAATTTAGAATTGTTATTGTGACAGTTTCATTGCATCCAAAACATCTTGTATGATTCGAATAAAAATATACTTATTTTAAACACAAACAAAATACTTACAGCTTGAGGTAAGGACAATGCTAACATAGCTATTTTTCTTCCATAAACATCAGCTAAATAACTAAATAAAGGTACTCCAAATACTGCAGCGAGTGCCATAGTACTACCAATCCAAGAAATTGCGGTGCTAGATAAAGCATATCCGGTAGGAGATGATGTTGATTGTAGTATGACAGCCATAGGAGATACCCAACCGATTTGCAGACCATATGTCAGTAATGATAGATTTGCTAGAAAATATGTTAAACAAAACGATCAAAAAGTATTAAAATAGATAAAAATAGGAAAAACCCGTAAGTATTTATGTGGTCTGTGGAAAAACCACTCTTGAAAAGTAAAATTCTAAATTTAATTTTGTGAACACTTTTGGAAATATAAATTGAAACACGAATACAAAGGAAACTTGAATGGAACACGCGATAATGTAATAGAAATTAAAACCGATTTACCTGTTATGGAAATCAACCACTGATAATAGGTATGTCGTTTATTTAAAATTATTTTATTGATTAAGTCTAACTGTTGCTGGAGTAGAATATTACTTCATAACGCATCTGTATCGTCAATTTTATCTTGCATATTTACATACATGCCGATACTTCTTAACATTTTATCAGTATTTGCAAATAAGGCCCTTATAGAATCTTTCCATTAGCGTATGAGTAAATGGAAGAATTTAGAATTACGCACCTAATTAAGACGTAACACGCACATCTACCTTTAACTGCCTCCGTGGCCGAACGGTTACCATGTCGGACTGCCGCTCAGAGGTTCCAGGTTCGATTCCCGGGCCGGGAGAAATATTTGTATGGCCTACATTTATTTCTCTCGTGAGTTTGGGTGTAATTTGTGGTTGTCTATGTGTGTGTCCATGGCACCCGCGACACAGGGTTTCCATATGGGCTATGTTGAGGTGTGCGTTATAATTATTATAACCTTTTTACAAAAAAATATTTGAAGTTGCCATTTGCAGTGTAGGAGTTAATAGGTTTTTCAATTCGTTTGATGCATCATTCGAGCGAATAATATTTGTGCAACAGATTGATTGTGTGATAGTTCATTAACGTGAACTTCCTTTGTACCAGATTGTACCCTTAAGCGAGAATAGTGGTACTTTAAAAGATATTCAGCTTAAAGCAGTTGTAAAAGCGTTTAATGATAGAAAATTTGTCTAGTTACATGTTGTCTTAGTAAAAACTTTTTATTTTTTGATCTTTCATTATTATATTTAAAACCCTACCAAAGGATCGTCTTGGACACCGGGGTGTCCAAGATGATCCTAAGGGTATGGGCAAGATGATCCAGGGATCTTGCCCCTAATTTGGAAAATTTCTAGGTTTTGGTAGAAACAAATGAAAATAACAACTTATTAGACTTAACAAAGTCCTCTCTTAAGTAATTTGTGTATAAGAACTTTGAGAATAAATAATACCAATTAATTTATATCTTACAGGTACCTAAGGGTGGGCGATATTGGTTTTTATAGCAAGTTGATATGCCAACGACAAAACATCTTGTTTCGATAGCCCGTACATCCTTGTCTCCAAATCTTTAATGTATTTTACGAAGTCGATTTCCTGTTTAACACATGTGATGAAAATAGTTTTTTTTTTCACTTAAATATTTCATTGAACCTACAGACCCTTTATTTTTACCTTTAGCCCGTCGTATTAATGACATAACGCGTACCTACTGCAAACTATTTACTTGCCGCTCTATACGTAGCATCCTACTTTTTACGCCTCTAGTTCTTTATATCATAGTCTTCCGACCACCCACCACAATTCGATTTTCTTTTATAATTATGCAGCTTGGTCTAAAACAAGAAAAAGCATTAATATTAGTTATTAATCGATATCGATCATGTCAACAAAATCCAGTCTTCTTCTATGTTATTCGTATTAGTTTCAGTACTCAGAAAATCATACAAATTATAAAAAATAGTCCGTTAACAATATATAGAGTACAAGATGATCCCCACGGGTCATATTGTACGCCAAGACCATAATCATCTTGCCCCAATTTACTTATTTTTATTTTTTGTTCGGCAAAATAACCTGTATGCTGTCTACTGTTACCATGCCATTGAAAAAGTAAATAGGGCATTATACAAAGTCACCAACACAAAAATCTTAGCAATTCATTGCTTAGAATGGAAGATGCTTAAGCTTCTAATCAACTTTACCTTAGATCAAACTCACTCAATTTTTGTTCTTTTCCACAAAAATAAAGTCGTCACTCACATCGCTATTACAAATTGACTGGTGAGAGGGCATTTTGCGGCCTACATTTTACCGAAGAAAATATGTAGATGACGTTATTAGTTTCGCTACAATTGAAAAGGATCATCTTACCTCCAAGGATCGTCTCGTACACCTTTCTCCTACGTGAATAGTGACTGGTACACGACCATTTGTTTGCCGGAAGTTATTGACAAACTCCGTAAAAATAACCGTCTTCGCCGTATCATCTTGCACCACGATAATGCCAGTTCACACACGGCCAGACAGACAAATGAATTTTTGAAGGTGAACAACGTCGACCTTATGAATCATACGGCGTGTTGTCCCGACTGGCACCTTGTGACTTTTATTTATTTCCAAAAATTAAGAACCAGTTGCGCGGTCAACGATTTTCATCACCTGAAGAGGCTGTCGAAGTGTATGAAAAATATGTTTCAGAGATTGTCACGGGGAATGGCATAAATGTTTTCAAAATTGGTTCATTCGTATGAAAAAGTGATTTAACGCTAACGGAGAATATTTTGAGAAACAATAAATTAATTTCTGACCACTTATAGTATTTTTTTCTTATTCATTCCGGAAACTTATATGTAGTGCGCCCCACGTACAATTATGATATTTACGAGTATTTTATCAATACATTCGTATTTATAAAATATTTTTTTTATAAATACGAATAAGTTTTCATGAAACGTCGCCTATTTTATTAACCAACTAAAAAAAATAGGAGGTTCTTAATTCGACTGCATATTTTTCGTGTATGTTTTTATTCCCGATTACCCCGACATTTATGAACCGGTTTCAATGATTCTTTTTGTTTTTGGAAAGTACCTCGGTAGTGGTTCTACGGAAATTTAATGAAAATGTTTCTTCTTTTTTATGATACCAAGTGACGGGACGAATACGAATATGAAGAGGAAAGTGACATGCATGTCGATGTCAGCTGCCGTACCACTCTTAGCTTTAAATCGCAAAGATCTGAGAGGCACTCCCACTACACCTATCACCCTGGTACACGTACTTGTCAACTTCTGATGGCACATGGTACTTGTGCTGACAAGTACCATGTGCCTGTAATTTAATGATTATTTTCAATTAGGGGTTGAGTCCGGTATACTATCCAGTATACGGTATATCATCGTGTATATCATCCACTTTCTATTAACCAATTTCAATAAAACTTGATAAATAGATATAGAGTACAGCCAAAGCGGATAAACAAATTTTTGAGGTCTTTTTTTCATAAAAAATAGTTATAAATATATCGAGTTCTTAGGTTTTCGCGATTGTTACACATATGAAATGAAACTATTTTTCCGGATTTAAATCGCGTATGTTTGTTTTTTTTTGTTTTTTCAAGTCAAGTTATACCTAAATATGTTTAAAAAAATGTAACTATTGATATATGTAAATAACTCGTGTGAAATTTATTATCTTTTATAGTTCTTCGAAAAATGAGTTGTTATTGTGTAATTGGGTAGTTATCAATATGAAAACTGGCACACAATTTGTTATTTCTTATTGGTTCGTAGTTTCTACTTAACGCCTGATTGTTTTATTTGAGCAGAAACTAAGAAAGATTTATTTGCTGTATATATTTCAAGCAAGGTATTTGGTCAGTACCTTAAACATGCTATGTAATTTAAGTTATTTGAATTTGGATCTCCTCGTACGAATGTACTAGGATAATATACATAAGTTACCTTCGTAGAATATCAAAGAGCATTATACGATAAACATTCAACTAGGCACTGTCATGCGAGGAACGAGGAATTCGATGAACTCTGTTGAAAGTTTGTGACAACACATAACCATTTTTATTAGATAGCTGAAAATTATAGGATACATTAGAAATTAAAGTTATTTCTTTTTAT